TGACAAAGGAGCCAGAGATGTACAGTGGAAGAAGCACAGCTTCTTCAACTACTGGTGCTGGGAAAACTGGGTGGCCACATGCAGAAAACTAAAAGTGAACCCTAGCCTGTCACTATGCACTAACATCAACTCAAAATGGATTAAAAACCTTAACATCAAACCTCATACTCTGAAACTACTGCAGGACAGAGTAGGAGAGACACTTGAACTTATAGGCACAGGCAAGAACTTCCTGAACAGCGTTCCAGGGTCACAATAAATTGGAGAGAAACTCAACAAATGGGACTACCTTAAAATAACAAGTTTCTGCACAACTAAAGACATAGCAACCAAATTAGAAAGACAGCCAACTAACTGGGAAAAATATTTAGCAGCAATGTATCAGACAAGGGGTTAATATCCATTATATACAGGGAACTCAAGAAACTAATCCCTCCCAAACCCAATAAACCAATTACTAAATGGTCAAGGGAATTAAAGAGAGACTTCTCAGAAGAGGAGATAAAAATGGCAAAGAAACACATGGGGAAATGTTCATCTTCTCTGATTGTAAAGGAAATGCAAATAAAGACAACCCTGACATACCACCTTACCCCAGTCAGAACGGCCCACATCCTAAAGTCAGCCAATGACAAATGCTGGAGGGGATGCGGAGAAAGAGGTGGGAGTATACACTTATACAACCACTTTGGAAAGCAGTCTGGAGGGTCCTCAGAAAGCTAACTACTGACCTCCCCTATGACCCAGCCATACCACTCCTAGGCATCTATCCTGAACAACAGGAACCAGGATACAAAGACACATGCACCTCCATGTTCATTGCAGCACTGTTTACAATAGCCAGGATATGGAAACAACCTGTATTCCCCTCTATAGATGAATGGATCCAAAAACTGGTATGTATATACAATGGAATATTATGCACCCATTAGAAAGGACAAAATAACAGCACTCCCAGGGAAATGGATGGAACTAGAAGATATCAAGTTAAGTGAGGTAAAGTCAGAGCAAAAAGACAAATGGCACATGGTCTCCCTGATAAGTGGATGTTAAGGTGATATAACAAACGTAAGGTGATATGACAAAGTAAACAAGACTTGAGAAACAAAGGACCTCCATTCATCTGGTCAAATCATTACTAAATGACCCCATGCTCCTGACCACATATATAGCATATATGTGCACATCAGAGGGAAACCAGGAGGAGGACACAGAACCAGAGGGAAACAGGGCAAAACATAGAACAGCTGCACTGGTCATTGATCAAAATGAACTAAGCAACTCAATGGCAGCGATGGGAGGGAGGGAATGAGCAAGAAAGAGGGAACAGCTGACACTAAGCAAAAGGAAAGAAATGTAGATATCACCCAATGTGGAAGAAATGACTGTATTGTCAAAGCTCATAGAACTCATAAACTTTATAGAGCACAATAAAGACAATTTCTCCATGAAGGTTAGAATGTGGTTGTGACTTTAAGTATCACTATCCCACAATACTGTGAAATTTTTGAAATTTATGTAATCACTCAATCACAATAAAAAATTACAAAAAATTAATTGGTTACAAAAAAAATCAAAGAAAGAAAAAAAAACCCCAAGGTTTGAAGACTTAACTCATCAATAGAATGCTTGAGGTTGATCCCTAGAACCACCAAAATATTTGTTTAACTTACCATTAAATTTAGACATCCAACACTCTCAAGCATGAGTCATCAAATTATATAGCACTGAGAAAAAAGATAATTATACAATGAAAACAAGAGATCAAACAACTTGAGGAGAAAATGAAAGAGACAAGACTTCAGTATGAGCTCTGAAATTACTATCTGACTGCCAAATGATGCACATATGCATAAATAATAATCATAATAATCATAATAATATAACATTGGAGAATCATAATTGAAATAACTCAGTATACACTCACACATATAAACACCGGAATATGTCACTTAAGATAGATGGAAATACAAGTCTGAACACATTTAATTCAATATTTAAAAGTCCAAAAAAGGAAAAATAAAGATTGAATAGTCAAAACAATAATGATTGAGAAAATTTGAGAACCCTTAGATTTAGAAAATATAGAAATATCAAAAAATTAAAAAAGAAATATCACAGGAAGAATATATTTAAAAAAGAAAATGAAATGTAAGCATTTCTTACACTTAGTAAGAAAACTAAATGTAAACCTTCAAGCAGTAGTGGCATAGCTAAGCCTAAGTTGTGTTTCTATCATCCCTCAAAGTGATATCCTAATTTATATGATGAAGGGTAAGCCAGGTGTCTATGTTCTAGTCAGTTATAAAGAAAAGAAAGAAGAAGAGGAACACACCATGTTCTAAATGGGATGATCTGGAATTCTGATAATTTATATTTTTTCCTCATCCCTCTGTAGCTAACCATAGTAAATCTGGAGATAGCAATCTTTTACTAGGTAACCACATGCCCACTAAACCAAAAAAATCCATTGAAATAAATTGTGCTGTCCAATTAAACAACCACTAATCAAATAAAATTACATAAAAATTTAAAAATCAGTTCCTTATTCCTACTAAACTCATCACAGATGTTCAATGGTTACCTAATGCTACAGTAGAAAACTAAGCTTAAGAACACTTTTTCTAGCTCAATGCACACTATTTTTATAGTCTAAAGACATGCTACAAGACACACAGTGGCTAGACTCAAGATGGTTAGGTTTTCTGTTATCTATTTCTCTCTTTTTCCACTTAAATGTTCATGTGAACTCTTATCTCCACATTTAAAAAAACAAATCACTTAGGTACTATAATCCTAAAGTTTTATCCAGGGGTGTTTATCTTGCTCTTGTTTACGATTCCTCCAGGAAGTTCACAGGTGACTATTCATTGTAGCATCCTGCAGAATAAGATATTTATCACAAGATACCAACTCTGATATACACAGTGATAGAGAAACTTTAAAATGCCTACTCAATAAAAAATAGAGAAAGAATCTCAAATAGCTATCTCCCCCTGGGCAGGGATGGTCAGATGCTCAAACTGGACTAAGTTTGTTTAGCCTTAGTCATGGCTGTACTATCTGAGAGCAACTTGAACACTTTGCCTTTGGTGATAACCATGGATCTTTAGGAATGTCCTCTTTGGAGCTGTATCTAGAGGAAATATATTGACATATTTATTGATAAATCAAGAGAAATATAAGCATTTCCTAGATGATGAACAGAAACTTTATAACTCACAATCACAACATTTTACACTTTTTTTGAGGTCATCTGAGATAAAAAGTTTAGCATGGAAGACAAGATTCTTAATTCATTGACACTGAATTGGTTCTTACTTTTCTGGCCTTACTTCATGGGGAAATGACTTAGTTGAATTTCCTATGAAATTGCTTTTTCAAAGTTGGGGCATAAAAATAAATCGATTTCTCTATCAACTATCACTGAAGCCATAGTGTGCTAAGACTTTCTAGTTATCACTAAAATACTCAAATACTTCCTCTGAACTAATAAATGTAAAAAGGAAATTGGAGATGCAAAGATAAGAGAACATATGGGAAAGAGAAAGGCAACAGTTGAAGACATTTTCTGCAATATGATTTGCAGAGAAATTGTATGTGTCCTGTGATATTTGTCAGATTTGATTGAACATGCTCAAGCAACTTCAATATTATCAAAGTGAAAGGCACACTTACAAGTAGACTTGGTGATTTGTAGAAGAGAGAGTTTCACTGTCTAATCTATTCATCATTCACTTGTCTGTGAAAAAAGTTTCAGCTCTCTCTCTTAAAACAAAACGACTGACAACACTTTGTGAGAATAACACAGATTAGGTTCTAGGCCTCGGCTGACTGCTACTTTCACTGTGTCAGTATACATTTTCCCATTTCTTAGTTGTAAGGTGGCAGTATATTTTGGTCTTATTCTATGGAATGAAGCTGGTGATTCAGCTTATGTAACATGCTTGAATGTAGGAACTCTCAAATTACCCTTGAGCAGATTTTTCTATTTTAAGGTCTAGAGAATGATTTCCATTAAACCAATGGAGAAAAGCCTAAATAAAGAGGTGAACAGAGGTAAGCCGTGCAAGCCTGTGCATTGAACAGAGTGGTGGTACGTCATATCTCATTTCCCTAACTGCAAAGGAGGCGGCCACTGCAGGACATGGGGATTACGGAACCAGAACCAGTTATTTAAAACAATCTGAAGGCAATTTTGTAGAATCTTCTACCTCAAAACCCTTCTCTACCTATATGTCCAGAGGGCAGAGTAACAAGAAGAAAAGATTCTTCCACTACCATTTCAATTTTCACCACAATTGCAAAAACACAAAATTTTAATGCCACCAAACTATACTCTTCAAAAAGTGGTTAAAATGAAAACTAACATATTCTATACTAAAATTAAGAGGAGGAGTGTGTTGGGAGGGGTGGATGGGAATGTTGAAAGGGGTGGCACTGATCAGGATGCACCATATTAATTGCTTCAGTGAATGACAACTCCTTTGTACAATTATGTAAAGATAATGAAAATATTCCCCCCCAAAAGAAGTCACAATTGAGTACATATATATGTATATATATATTTATATAGTTTATAAAAATAGGTATTAAATATAAATCTGGATGAAGGGTTTAGTGCTTTGCACTGTATGTCCTTCAAGATACTTCTTCGAAGTACAGTTCTGTGCCAAAATCAGGGCGATAAATATCCCAAGTTTTTTCTTTGTGCGGATTATCCAAACGGTCTCGTGAGAGATACAGTCTAAGGGTAGGAAGGAAAAAAACAAATTACATTTAATTTTAGGGCTAACAGACAAGTCATGCAATACAACACCCTTGTTTTAGAAAGAGACTTGTTAGCTGCAACCAGAACCGACGTCCCATTTGTTTTCCCTACTTGGCTCATTCCATCACTTTGTGTTTGTGTAAACAGTGGGCAAAAAAACTTCCTACTGTAGTTTATACACAGACATGGAAGATGAAGCTCTTTCTGTTGGATTACATTATATCCTTACCGGTTCCTCTTTATTAAAGCAGTGTTGAACCAAAAGAAGAAAGCGCAGTCATCATAGTAGTTGGGTATGATCTAAAAACACATGGTTAAAGGTTATTTTCATAGTAAAATAGATACCAAAAACTAGTGATTCCAAAGAGATTAAAATTCCTCCCTTATTCTTTGTGTATGTCATCAGTTGCAGCCTTCTATAGCAAAGTACTCAGAGGCTTAGGAGAACACTGTTTCAATTAAAATATAATGGGCCAAAATTAGTGCAGGGAAATAGAAGAAAAAGGATTTAATAAAAAGTCACTAGGAACAGAGTAACAAAAATAAGATACACAATGGAGAGACATATCTACAAATCATGTGTCTGATGAGGGTGTTGTATTCAGAAGAACTCTTCAATTCAAAGACAAAAGGCAGATAAAAACAGATCAACCCCAAGGCCTTAAACACACATTTCTCCAGAGTCTGTATCCAAAAGGCCTACAAGCACACACAAAGACTGAGACCACATGCCATACTACTAGGATCACTACAAAAAAATCAAAGGCCCTCAGGCCTTGCTGGCACAAATGTAAAACGGTGAAGCCATTTGGTGACTACTCAGTGAATTAAACATAGAATTACCAAAGCCACTTGAGGAATGGTTTTTCCCATAATAGATATATACTGATTAAAATTTTTTTTGTCAGTTGTGGGCCTTGAACTCAGGACCTGGGTGTTATCCCTGAGCCCTTCAAGTCAAGGCCAGTGCTCTATCACTTGAGCCACAGCACCATTTCTGGTTTTCTGGTGGTTAACTGGAGATAAGTGTCTCACAGACTTTGCTGCCTGGGCTGTCTTTGAACTGCAATCCTCAGAGATCAGCCTCCTGGATAGTTAGGATTCCTGGCATGGCCCAGCTTGATCTTATTTCTATAATGCTAAATAATCAACTAAAGACCTATGACTTTTGCACCCACTCACACTGTGGTGCATTCTAACTCATTGCTGTTGCCTGTGCTTCCATTTTGAGTGTACATTAGACGGGCATAACAGGAGCAGGGCACAGCCACCCTTGACAGTTTCCAGTCTCTGTCCCCTCCCAGTTCCTCAGTGGGCCTGGTCTGGATATTTGTCCCATGCATCCCTATTCTTATGTGACAGAAGATACAATCCCTTTGCTTCACTCAACCCATTCTCCAGGGGACCTGTGCAGGTATGTGTAGTGAATGTTCCGGAATACTGACATAGTGTATTACCAAATACTGACATAGTGTATTATTGAATATGGGAAGGTATTGATTATATATGTGCTGTGAAACAGTATGGAATATTAAGATGTAAAATTAGGAATTACAAGTTATGAGATACAACTATGGAAGATAGAGATAAGGACACACATATGGAGCCTACAGAGACATCACCAAAGCAACCAGCCCACCACAAGGAACAGACTTGGCCAGAAGTAGGGCAACCTTACCCTCAATGATAACCAGTCGTGGCCAGAAATGAAGCTGTCAGCAAGGCAACCCTGCCTGCTATAATAATCAGCCATAGCCAGAAATGACAAAGCCCAGCCTAAAACATATAAAAACCCAGGGCAGCGCAGACCCCGCGAGATGGCCTCTCCAAGCAAGGCGACTCCCATCAGACAGGCCCTCCAGTGCAGCACCCGGCAAAGGGCCACTACTACAGAGGACACCTCGATGGACTCCCCTCAACCTAGGATCACATCAAGTAGTGTGCCATGTGAGCACCCATGGGTGTGGGACACGCTTGGTAGAATTAGGTGTAAGAGTTAGATATTGGTGTGGATTATATTTGAAGTGTTAGAATAAATGGAGCGAAACTTCTTGATCTAAGCATGATGCTATTCACCTGCTCAGCACAGTATGTCTCTGTGACCACTTGGGTTACAGCATGACTCTTGAGACCCCAATGGAACCCTCCATGGGAAACCGGCTCAGGAAACACCCTGGGCCCAGCACAAAGGCTACTTGCTCAACCTCAGGTCTCCCTGTGTCCGTGGCTCCCCACCACTGGTGGGGCATCAGCTTCTCCTGGATGGCGCCCTCTTTCCACTAGCCCAGACTGCTGCTGCCCTTGCCTCTCCTATTGCTGACCTGCTTCTCCTATTCTCTGTGTTCGTTGTGCTGCCTGCTTGGTGCCTTATCTGAGCAGTGTGCACAAGCCTGTGTCTGTTCTCAGGGCTTTCCTGCAGTATCTATTTGGGTAGGAAGAAACTAAAAATGACAAATCAGACAAGAGCCTCAGGGCATCTGCCAGTAAAACAGGTTTCCTCTGAGAAGGACACCTGTCACCAGTGGCACTGAGGCATTAGGCTGCCCACCAGGGTAAACAATCATCCTGTGAAAGACACACTGTACGGCATCCACAGCCACCTCACCTGGAGCCCCATGAGAGCAAAGCTAGAATTTATAGTTACTCTCAAGAGACGGTCCTTGAGACCAAGCTAGAAGAAGTATATATCTATTGCTACCATCAACAGCTACTTTTCAAGATTAACTATCCCTATTGATGATGATTAGAGCTACTCAGGAGGCTAAGATCTGGAGGATCTTAGAAAAGTCAGGTTCCATTTCCAAAATGACCAGCAAGAATCAGGACTGGAGGCATGGCTCAGGTGGTAGAGATCCAGCCAAGCAAGCAAACAAAGCATGAGGCCCTGAGTTCAAACCCTGGTACTACAAAAAAAAAGCCCCACAAATACACGCACACAAAACTGGTGAGCAAAGAAATTTCTAATTTTTTAAAATGTGCCTTCACATCTTGACCCTTGATAATCATCACTGAAATTTCTATTGCCAAGGTTCCCTGAGCCAGTGAAGAAACCACAATTTCGGTTTACAGACCACTAGTTGAGCGAGGATTCAGACTTGTTCCATCATCTGAGGGATAACCTTCCAATACAATGTCTACCCAGGTCATTTTTCTGCACATTCACCATCGCAATAGCTAATAGATATACCTTCAGCAGTGAGTAAGCAGGTGATGAAGGAATGCACAGAAAATGAAATTTAACTTCCTTGTTGATAGTGGAGATGGATGATGTAACAGAAAAATACAGCTACTGAGCTGCTGGAATTCATTATAAACAAAACCACTCGGACATAACAGTGTACAACTAATTAATAGAAATTATACACTCAGGACTCTTATAGTAATGATGCTAAGTTAATGATAAAATCTCCCGCAGTTATTGATAGTGTAAAAGTATTGATGGCAATATGTTTAAAAGATACAAAACTGTCAATACTACCTTCTTTTTAGCATCCTGGTTTTCTTATTTTTCTTATTTGAAAACTAACAGATAGCACATTGCATAGAATTTAGATAAAAGTAGGTGGGTGCTGGTGGCTCACATGTATAATCCTACTCAGGAGGCTGAGATCTGAGGATCTGCAGTTCACAGCCAACCAGGGTAGAAAATCTGTGAGACTCTTATGTGCACTACAATACTCAGCAAAAGCCAGAAGTGGTGCTGTGGCTCAAGTGGTAGAGTGCTAGCCTTGAGCAAAAGACGCTCAAGGACAGTGCTCCAGGCCCTGAGATCAAGCCCAAGAACTGGTTAAAAATATTTAGAAAAAACCACCCTTTAAATATCTTTTTAAAAATCCTGATAGTTTTGAATTGTGTTTTTCTCCTCTTCTCTGGACATGGATTGCTCTCTATCCTTTCTCTTGCTGAGAACTGCAGCAAAGGACATCCCCAAACAAAAATATTCACAAATCCAGGTTATACAGGGATTTTTCATACTCACCGGTGATGAAAACTTCACTTTTATGTCAGCATGTAAGTTCGGACAGTCTAATATAAGAATTATTGCTCTATTGGTCTCTACATCATGTTGTAACTATGAATAAACACACAGAATTAGGAACTATAAATGTAGTTGGTAGTAAGTATTCATTTTTACCAATCCAAGCATGCAAAGTTCATTATATACTCTCAGTTTCATAGCCTCGTCATTTCATACAGAAATTAACAGTAATCTTTTTTTCTTTACATTAACTCTACATGTTTGAGGGTTCTAATAGGGAACTGTTGAGAAGCAATGTATTCATGTTTTACTGGAATTTAACATAATAAATATTACAGTTCAATAAGAATCATCTGAATTTCATATTGTTTTAAGATAATGGACTATAAAGCTTAATTTTAAAGCTCACATTGATATTCGAAAAGCAATGCTTACCTAATCATGTTCTTATAGAAAAAATCTTCTTGACTCAGATATATACTAGATAGTCTGAGTCAAGCAGAAAAGGTCAGATAAGGTGATGTTAGGGAAATGAGCCCTAAGATATATATTCAAATGATTTTTTTTCTTTCATGCGATTGTTTCTAACACATTTATAAGATTATTTCTTTGTTGCTTTGTATGTCCCTCCCCCACAGTATAACCCCTGCTTTCACTGTATTTGATGTCAGTATAATTTGTGGAGGGGAAGGGGAAAAACAAATCGTTTAAATAGGGATACAGGTGAACCCATTGCAACAATGAGATGTACAAGTCATTATGTCGAAAACGAACTTTACAACTTTCGTGGGGGGTGTGGGGGGCCCGGCGCCGGGGGCGCGGGGGTGGAAGGGAAGGGACGGGAAGGGGAAACAAAGGAGGAGGCTATAATGCTTGATAAGAAATGTACTCATTATCTTGCCCATGTAATTGTAACTCCTCTGTACAGTATTTTCACAATAAAAAAAATAAAAAATAAAGAAACCCCTTACTTTGCTAGTGGGATCAATGCTAGATTCCAGTGAATGGAGTGACCAAAGATAGGTCATGTTTTGGGAATTAACAATTTTGAAATCAGTCTAAGTATTTCTTTGGTATTGATTCACCATCATACTATACAGGGGCTATGATAGGCCCTGTGGGACAAAAAACAAACAAACCAAAACCAAAACCCTCACATTTTTTCAAACCCTTCAGTAGTTTTTATACATAAAGAACAACAGTACAATAATATGCAGAAAAGCTGCACAAAGAAGATTTGTGTGCAATTATGTAGTGTGTGTGTGGAGGAGGAGTTTATAGTATATAGGTTGAACAGGAAAACTTCCCCAAGGAAGTAAAACTTGAGTTGGTCATTGGATAAATGAGGAGTAGTACAGGCACAAGATACCTGCAGAAACATGAATTAGACTTGTATTAGACTTGTAATTAGACTTGTATTTCTAGAGCCAGAGGGGTGACCCATCCTCCTTTATTGGGAGTCTGTAGGTCAAGTTATTGATGGCAATAGCTTGGCTTTGCTAGCGCTGTTGTGTCTTGAGAGCTTAAGAGCCAGGAAAACAAGAGTGAAAAGTTGCTAGGAATCGCTGGGGACATGTCCTATGTAACAACGTGGCTGGATAATTATCACCTGTAACATTGACTTAGTAACTTATGGTTTATAAAGTTACTTCAAATGCATTACCTAAATCTCACAACACTTAAGATGTGGCCTGTTTTATAGTAAGAATTTGAGCCAAAGGCAGTCGCTTGTCTTTGTCCATGGTACACAGTGTCTTCTGCTCACAATGAGAACGATATTTAAGGATGCATTCTGCACACATCCACATGCTAACTTTTATAGGGAGAAAGACAAAGAATGTGGACTATTGTATAAATCTAGAAATGAGCAAGTGAAACCCTGGACTAGGGTGCGGGAACATGAAAAAAAAGAAATTTCAAAGCATCCTCCATAGGAGCTGGTGATTAATGTGATTAAGAGACTAAAGCAAAAAAAAAAAAAAAAGAATTCCAAATTGTAAAGCCTGTGTTGGAGAATACTGGTTGCATTTAAGAAGCATAGGAAAAACTTGTTTGATGAATCAGGATTGCTGAAATGTGTGTAGACAGTGGGTGTGGAAAACGCCCGTGTGGCAGCTCTGATATCATCCACACAGCAGGGGTTCCTTGATATCTGTTGAGTGACTGAAAGAACCCATGCTACTTTATGGAAGGGCCATGGTGAACGTGACAAAAATAGAGTCTTCTCATAGACAAGAACAGAAAGCCAAGGACGGGGTTTGGGTGAATGCTCTCAGCAAAGTGAAGCCAAACAAAAATGAATAAACGTTTTGAAAAGTGTTTATCAGGCTGGGAGCCAGTAGCCCATGACTGTAATCCTAGTTACTCAGGAAGCTTTGATCTGAAGATCATGACTCAGAGCCAACCCAGGCAGGAAAGTCCATGAGACTCTCTGACTAAGAAGAAGCTGTGGCTCAAGTGGTAAGAGTGTGAGCCTTAGCACAAAAGCTCAGAGACTCTTAAGTTCAGAGGCTCTGAGTTCAAGCTCCAGGACCAGCATACACACAGGGTGTGTATGTGTGTGTGTGTGTGTGTGTGTAACTTCTAAGAAGAACCTGATGTGTGTGTGTGTGTGTGTGTGTGTGTGTGTGTAACTTCTAAGAAGAACCTGAGAAGGAAATTTAACTTTACTTTTGATCACAAAGGCAAGTTGCTTATTCTTTTTTCCAGAAGAGGTCTACAGTCTTGAGCATTTCTTCAGCATTACAGTTCAATATCTTCTCCTCTTACAGCTGCATGTAAAGAGGTTTCTCCTCAGTCCACACACTCTTCCCCACAGAACATCGGAGTTAGTGTCACTGAGGTCATTGTGGAGTGGACAGTTTCTGCACCCATTCCACATTTCCTGACTCCAACTTCACAAGTGTCAGGGTGATTGTCAAGAACACTAAATTGCAGGATCAGAGCTGTACGATAAATGACCCAAAAAAATGACCAAAAGGAAGATAATATAGCTAATACTGACATGGGAATTTGAAACCTCCATTGATACATGGGGACATTCTTAGCATGTGTGGGTAAGTGAAGACAAAGGAACAATGAACCGTAGCCTATTTTGGGAAATGTTTTGCAAGGACTGTTTGGAACAAGGCTTTGATTTGCATCAGAACTAAGCAGCACCAAGCTGGCCACCAGAGGGCAGCATGCGTCTGTGTGGTGAATGATGGCTGGGGAGGACAACAAGCCCGCTGGACTGTGAACTGGAAACAAACACCAGAATTCTCACTTCAAATGCTTTTGCTTACCACGCAGTTTTCGGGTGTGCTACTAAATATGATCTCTCGATGCATTATGATGTCTATTTTTAGATCAGTTCCATCTCCTCGTCCGACTCCTTAATAAAAGTAAAATGACACACTCGTTAGAGCACAGAGCAAAATGTCTTGCCAGTTAGCATGAGAAACTGATACTGTAATCCTAGAAACTCAGGAGGCTCAGATCTGAGGATCACAGTTCAAATACAGTGAGGCAGAAAAGTCTGTGAGACACTGATCTTCAATAAACCACAAGAAAACCAGATGTGGAGCTGTGTCTCAAGTGGTAAAGCACTAGCCATGAGCTGAGGGATGGTGTACAGGCCCAGACTTCAAGCTCCACGGCCAACAACAACAAAATAAAAGCTTTTTTTTTTTCACTGAAGACAAAAACAGCAACATCTAGACAGAAGTATTGGCAGTGTTACAATTAAAATACTGCATTTCCTTCATGCTCAATTCAAAATGAGACATAAGCAAGCTATACTAAGCAATTCCTAGGCTTATAGTAGGTTTATAATATACTATTTAAATATTAGGAAGAATGTTTCTACTAAATATATGCATCCCGCTGGTACAACCAGAACCATATCCATTAATAGCTCTAATAAAGTATAAATCTGCGCACACATCTCTCCCTGCAGGCGCCTCCTCCTACCCTCTGCTGCAGCCTCCAAGTAAGTCCTGACTGCATCGCCCAGAGGTGGCACAATCCATCCAAGATGGATCTGCTGATTGTAACAAATATTTACAGTTAGCTAATTCACTACTTCCACTTTTTACCATACACTGTCACCTCAGGGCATCTATGAAGATTAGATGTTCTGAAATAGGGAACTTGGTGTATGATCTCAGTACTTTACTAAAAATATACAACTTCTAGATGTGGCGGTGCTAGCAGAGCCCTTCCCAACCTTCTTCTTCTCCTTCTCCATCACTCTAGACACTAACTCTGAGATAAGCACAACTTCACTCCCAGAAGACAGTTTTCCCCAAACACTACCAAAAGGACATTTATATAGGGATTATTCTCTACTTCTTACTTTTGGCATTAAGACTTAACCCTTAATACCTAGTAATATGAACTAAAATATACATATGGAGCCAAGTCTAGACAACCTGAACCAACAGAAGAGGCCCAAGATAGCCTGCTCTCTGCACACGTCCTCCCCCAGCCCCACCCATGCTGCCACCCACTGAACAGCAGAGTCTCTAAGACATTACAATTCACTCCCAAATTCAACTACAACAATACTTCAAGGGGAATATGTTATCCCTCTACTTTTACACGATTAAGCATGTTGAGATGTCGAGAAAAACTAGATGCTGCTAATAGTTTTGAGTTGCCCACCAAACAAATATACAAGAAATGACACACAAAGCACATACACTAACAAAAGCTCTCATTTGAAAGGAAAATTCTAGCCTAGAACCCTTCCCATCTCCAGCAGCCCAATGTCAGGGTTATTTACATAAATGTAATATTTCAAGGGGACTTTCAATCATTCAACTTCAATGTTTAAAGTCTTTAACTTTTGACACAAAATGTACTCGATGTGTTAGTTTACTAATTCTACTTTTGTCACTGGCAACCTCTTTAACATCTAGTAAGACTAGAAACTGTAAATTAGGACCCATCTGTCTTTTATAAAACTATATGCAGAACAACATTAAAATGCACAGACACCAGAGACAATGGGCAATCTTGCTTCACCATAAACCCATGGGTAGAAAGCCCTCAGCACTTTCCCTCCTCCTTCCCTGAACCAGTACACACACCTTGTATACTGCTCAGAAGCCGTTTCATCATTCCATTTCCAAAAGACAAAATGTCATTATGAATTTTAGCAAAACAATAGCTACAAAATGATTTACTGCCTCTACTTTTATCATGCTTTCTGTACTTGTAAGCACCTAGAGAGAGCAGATGTCTCAAAAAGGACTTAATTGTCCATTGTATACACAACAGTGTTGAATAAACTACAGGCGTGTAACCATGGTTCTATCTGAAAGTGTCTTCCAGCTGGGAGCATTCTATTCTAGCCTAGAACCTTTTATTTCCAGCTGGGAGCAGTCTATTCTAGCCTAGAACCTTTTATTTCCAGCTGGGAGCATTCTATTCTAGCCTAGAACCTTTTATTTCCAGCTGGGAGCATTCTATTCTAGCCTAGAACCTTTTATTTCTTCCAATTCCAGTATTACACTTGATACAGGTACACAGTGACTTACAGATATTACAATTTTGCTTCTCATCTTTTTCAGAAGACAGCCTTTCTATTAATTTTAGCACAATATATACAACACATGCTAGTTTACTCACTACACTGGCAACATCTTTAATAGCTAGGGACTAGATAGTATAAAATTAGGACTCATTTGTCCAGTCTATACACAATATATGCTATACACAAAAGTCAAACAAAATGTATGTAACATACAGGGTAAGGGATGATGAGCTGAAATTTTTTCACACACACTGAGAAAGTTTTTACTTTCTACCACTTTCCTCAACCCAGTGAACAAATACAGACAGTACATTGTTCACAGAGGTGGTTTAAAAACTCCAGTTCTGAACACAGTTTTTCCCAAAGTTTGCAAAGCTCCTACAGGTATTCTAATTCTTTTTTAAATACACCAAGCACTTCCAAATACCTAAGCCTGGCTATTTCAAATGCAAACTTGCTTGCTGTACCCACAGCACTGGTGAGTACAATTGTACATGCAGCAGTGGTTATAACCACAATGGTTATAACCATTTTGGCCCTGAGCCATTCCCTTCTCAATTCCTTCTTTCTGCCTTCAATCCAGTGGACAAATACAGGCATATGTAATGCTTACAGATAGTTAAACAAATGCATATCTAATTGTCATTTATAGAAAAAAGTTTCCTATGACATTTCAACACAAAGCACACAAAATGTGCTGATTTTACTACTTTGTCATACACTGGTAACCTCTTTAATTTGTAGAGAATAGATGTTGCAAAGTTGGACTTTTTGTATAGACACTATATACACAGCAAAACAAGATGCACCATACAGTAAAATGGTATCTGAGGATGTCCAGGTATGAATACACTAGCACATTACTTTTTGCAATTGCTCACTTCCACCTCTCCTCCAAACCAATGAATGAGTACGGGCAGTACCTGCCATTCTGCTCACAGAGGTGATCCCCCCCCACTTCCATTTTGTAAAGACAGTGTTTCAAGTGAACGTTAGCAAAAGGATCTCTAAAAAGTGGTATTTTACTGTCTCTACATTGAACATATGTTGGGCACTTCTAAACATCTAGAGAGACTAGATGTTTTCAAGTAAGGACTCACTTCATCCCCTATGGACATAGCAGTCTTCACTGACTGAACACATGTAACTAACTATAATCTGAAAAGTGTCTTCAAAATATGAGCATTCTAGGACATTTGTCCACCTACCCAGTGGGCTAGAATGCTGAGATTTTCAGAAGACCTTTTCTAGGGATTTTAACACAAAACCTACAAAGTCTACTAATTCTACTTTTGTCATATGCCAGGAACATCTTGAACTTCTAGAAAGACTAGAAGTAAGTTAGGCCCAGAACTATAAATCAATATGCTGTTTCTTTTTCTTGGTGGTGTTGTGGGTTCTTTTTAATTCCATTTCTGGGGCTTGAACATAGGGCCTGAGCACTGATCCTGAGCTGTTATTGCTCGAGGTTAGCGCTCTACCACTCTAGCCACTTTTGGCCTTTTTCTGTGTATGTGGTACTGAGGAATGGAACGTAGGACTTCATGCATGCTAGACAAGCACTCTACCACTAAGCCTCATTCCCAGAAAAAAACAAATTCTTCTTGCATGACAAGAATGTTGGCTTAAGCCCTTGACTTTCCTCACATCTCAACAACTTTAAGTCACATAGATGTATTTCATCATTTACAAAGAAGGAAAAATGAGGTGAACATTTCTTATGTCACCCTTTTTCTTCTACCCATGTAGATCCTCAGCCCCCGAAGAAATAACCTCTCTCAATAGTTTTCTAGGCCAGACTGGCAAAAAATGGGACTCTATCCCAAAAAACAACTAGAGCAGCTAGGTATTGGTGGCTTATGCCTCTGGTACTAGCTGTTTGGGAGGTTGAGATTGAGGGGACCACAGTTGGAGCTAGCCCAGAGCGAAAACTGTGGACATGGTCATGGGTGCCTAACATCCTAGCAAGGATGAGAAGCCAAACACAGGCAGCCTTATTTCTTGGGAAGTAGGCAGCATCTTGGTAGTAGCTAAGGGATCTGGTAAAACACCAGTTTCTCCCACATGGAGGTTCAGGTGTGTATGGGGAGTATGGGGGTCTAAGCTGCCCTTTATGAAGCTTCTCTGTAGTTCCTACTTCTGTGCTCCCAAACGGTGTTCAGCTTCTTCTTTCCTGGCACCAGAGTTTGAACTCAGAGCCTTGAGCTTGCTCAGCTGGCTTCACTGGCACTCATCACTTGAGTCATGCCTCCAACCCTATAGTCTCTGGTTATGTTGCACATGGAGACTCAGATTTTTCTGCCTGGGCTGGCTTCAAACTGATTCTCCAGAGCTCTGCCTCCTAACTAGCTAGGATTTTAGATGTGAGCCTTACCAACACCCAGCCTGGAGTTGGCTTTTTAAAATCTATGCACTGATTTCTCTTTTCTGCTGATCACCCATGCTGAATGCTAGCATAAGGCCTATCCTGGTCAGGGGACTCAGTGGTGTGGCAACAAATGAAGCCTTTGCTGATCAGGTATTTCAGGCAGGTGCTGGGGTTGTGATGCTTAGAGGAGGAGGGAAGAGGGAAAAGAAAGATCGGTGTGATGAGAAAAAAGGACTAGATAGAAAGTGATAGAGGGACACTGCTGCTGAGGAGCCATGAAGGTGGGTCTGGGAAAGAAGCAGTGTCAAGGGTTCATAGGTCTCCCCACCTCTAAAGCTCCAACCCTGAAAGGCCTACTCTGAGCTGAGACACAGAGCCATGAGAACAGAAAGCAAGGGGATGGCAAAGGAAGAAGAGAGACACCTAAGAGTAGCTGACATGGCTATGCATTGCCTGCCCAGGGCAAAGCTCCAGAGGAGTTTGTATGTAGGGAAACTTAGATGGCTAGGAGTTATGATCTTCTATGTACATAACCGTGAGCAAAACCCTCTCAAAGAACACTTGTCCAAAGGTCCCATCCCTAAAGTCTAAAGCACTTACCGTGAATTGAGTAGATTACAATCTTGGTAATTTTCACTGTTCTCTGAGGAGGTAAACTCCAATTAAATATTTTTTGAACGGTCTCAAAGTACTCAACGTACCGACTCTGGAAAGCAACAGAAGCCTCGATTTTAGTGGGTCTAAAGGGTTAAAGTCAGCATACAAATCTTTTTAAACTTGATATTAGTAGTAAAAAAATTAAGCAAACAATGTTCCATTACATAATTAACATTCGTATGCATTTGCCTCATGACTAGTTATCTACCATGGGAAAAAGCACTGACCTCAGACCTGCAGGGAGGAACATGGAAGGAGCAAGTCCTTGCCTATGGCTTGCTTATGATTTAAAGAACTACTACGGGCTAAAACTGCTATGGCAGAAGCTGCTGTAATGGGTTAGAGGAAGGACTGTGGTTTGGTGGATGGTTCTTCATCAGGGCAGAAAGAGAACTACTAGCAGCAGTAGATAATTATGTCATTTTTGAGTGTCTCTAAGAGCTAGAGTTTCTTCATCTGCCCTTTTCCCAAATTTGTTTTTGTTAAGGAAACCCTGGAATTCTCTAAGCCTCACATTCCTCCTCTACAGAAAGTTGCTCACAAGGGCTTTCCTGGAACCTCTCTTTGAGGAACTGAAGAGTTCTGGTGCTGAGCCAAGTGGGAAGGGCTGATAACATTAATGATCACATCTCCAATTAGCACAAGCAGTGTGGTGGGTGCCTGTGGCCCATGCCTGAAATCCTAGCTACTCAGGAGGCTGAGGCTGAGCAATTCAGGACTGAAAAGTCTGGGAGAATCCATCTCCAATGAATTAACAAAAAATTGGGCTAGAGGTGTGGCTCAACTGGTAGAGTGCCAGTTATAAGCAGGGAAAACCTACTGAGCACAAGGTCGCTGAGTTCAAGCCCCAGTACTGGCACAAAAGGTAAGGGCAGTGGTGAGAAAGGCCTGAAAGTTCTTAAGTCTCAGGTGTCAAGGGGAATGGCACAAGGAAGGGCAGAATGTGGCAGTGTGTAAGAAGAACCTCCCAGCAGAGCAGACTGGGCCCTGTAGCCTCTCTCCCCTGCCTTGCTCTCCCAGGGAATCAGCAGAGCTGTCATCACCCATGGTGAGCCATGTCTGGACTGAAGTCAGGGAAACTGCAGGACTGCAGAAGTAGGAAGGAGAGCTGTCTGCAGACCTGCGCAGGAGACACAGGGAGACACAACCCCTTGCCTCCTGCCACCAGATTCTCCACTTCTGCACAGAAGAGCTCTGGAGCTGCTTCTGCTTTCACACTTCCTTCCCCTGATGCAGTTTAAAGAAGGAGGGGTTTCCCTACACATTAACTGATGCACAGCTAGCACTCATCCAAACAAGGAAGGTACTATGCCAGTGGCAAAGCACTTTGGGATGCCAAGGGTGGCAAGATTGCCAGGACAGGGCCTTGCCTTTAAGGAGATACATACATTGCACTTGAAATAGCCACAGAATAAATGCCATAGTTCCTATCAAACCCTCAAAGGGCTGTAAGGCCTGATATGGTGGGACATTCCTTCGGGCCAGGGAGGGAAAGGGACTGCAAGAAAAAGGGCCCATGTGAACAAAGACTTGGGGAGTATGAAGTGTTAGCATGCTGGGAAAAAGCAAACCTCCTAAGGCAGTGGAGTGCAGGATGCATAAATGCACAGTGTGGGAGAAAGGACTGGACACATACATTGTAGAAGACCTCGGGTTCAGCTCAGAACATTTAGTTGGTTGCAGCAGGAAGCCCTTGTGAATATGAGCATGGAAATGGCATGATCAGGAATGGACTTGGCTAAGTTCATGTGTTAGGTTCAGCCTTCTGTGGGCACTTTGTGGATAGGGTAATTTGGACAAAGGGAAAACCTATCTATAAATAAGGCTGCGATTTTGTTGCCCAAATTGGAGACCAGTAATTATACAGTCTTCTGCTACAAGTACAAGCTGCTGTTCAACGCCAGCACTTCTCTGAAAGAAAACTTGGCATTTGCAGCCACATCCACAGCTAGGAATCCCCCACTCGCTGCCACATGGCTTGAAGGGAAATACAGACACGGCACTGCACACAGCATGGGAAATGATGGGCTGGGATGCCCACACATCTGGATTTGAGTGCTTGTTTCAAAACATTAATTTCTCTAAACTCAACTTCCCAGTTTACATCAAATGCCCACTCTGATTTAACAAGATTAAATGAGATCATGAATAGTAAAGCCTTAGAAAATTTAATACAGTTTGGGATGTGAAATCTAAGAGATAAATACCTTGGTTTCTTCAGGAAATAAGTTATGAAAAATACAAAAAAAAAGTGAGAAACCAATAAACTTTAACTGAAGAGTTATATTAATTAATGAAATATAGTCTCATTTAGTACTTGATTGAAATGAAGTAAACTAAAAGGGTAAGACTTTAGGCTATTATGGAGAGTTACATATGAATTAGAAAATGGTAGTTTAGGGATATTAAAATATAATGTGTTTGGATATAATCAATATTGCCACTGGGGGGTGTGTGTGTGCTGGTCTTGGGCCTTGAATTCTGGGCCAGTGCACTGTCCCTGAGCTTTTGTGCTCAAGGCAAGTGCTCTAACACTTGATCCATAGCTTCATGTCTGGCTTTTTGAAGGTTAGTTGGAGATGAGTGTCACAGGCTTTGAACTGTGATTCTCAGGTCTCACCCACCTAAGTAGCTAGGATGACAGTATGAGGCACTGGCAACCCGCAGTTGTTTTATGTTTGCTCAAGCCTAGTGCTCTACCACTGGAGTCACAAGTCTAATCCTGCATGTTTTGGTGCTTAATTAGAGATAAGAGTCTCACAGTCTTTCTTGCCCTGGCTGGCTTTGAACCCCATTCTCAGGTCTCAGCCTCCTGACAAGCTATGATTTCAGATGTGAGCCACCAGGGCCTGTTGTTTTTCTCTGTGTGTGTATGTGTGTAGGGAGTTATTTTGTTTTTGTTGGTAAGAGTGCCTATGTTGGGTGTCATCCCCAAACTACTTGTGAGATAAAGAATCTGATGACTGGAATTTCCTTCAAAGAAATCTTGGTTTAGGACAGAATAAGAAGAGGCATTCAGTGTTTGATGAGAGTTGGGAGGAAAGGAATGAAGCATGATTGGTTGTGGGTTGAGAAGAAGACTCATATACTGTATGATTCAATCTTTGTGTGCTTGGGTTTGGATATGGAATGTGCTCTTAAAAGGTTCATGTGGGAAAGGCTGGATCCCAAATCTACCAGTGTTCAAAGGCAAGGCTTTGGGAAGTAATAGTCTCATGAAGCTTCTGAGTTCATCCATAGAGCAATCCACTCAGAGCTTCATAAGTTTAGAGCATTAGTAGGAGGTGGGGCCTTGCTGAAGAAAGGAAGTCACTGGCAAGGATGAATCTTGTTCCTGCCACTTCCTGCTTCCTTACCACCTTGAGGTGAGCAGCCCTGCTCCACTACATCCTCCTTGATGTGAGTTTTTAATCTCACCTCAGGCCCAAAGCAATGTAATCAAGTGTGAGCCAAAATAATTCTTTCCCCTTTAAGTTCTTTTGTTAGGTATTTGTCACAGAGACCAACAGTCTAATCCAATATATTTGCAAATTATTATGTTTCGTAATGAAACATTTCCAAGGAAAATAGGGTAATAGTATATACTTCACATGAATGTTACAAATATATAATGGGAAATACAAAAATGTATGATTGTGCTGGCTGTAATAGGAGTTAAAATATTTATTTTCCCTTTTTATTCTCTATTATTCTGTTTTTGTTTTTGTTTTTGTTTTTGTTGATCCTGGGGCTTGAACTCTGGGCCTGGGCACTGTCCCTCAGTTTTTCAGCTCAGGGCTAGAACTCTACCACTTGAACCACTGTGCACTTCTGGTTTTCTGGTGGTTTATTGGAGCTAAGAGTCTCACTGACTTTCCTGCTCAGACAGGCTTTCAACTGCAATCCCCAGAACTCAGTCTCCTGAGTAGCCTGGATTAGAGGCCTGAGCCACTTGCACCGGGCTCTTTTATTCTTTCATATTCTCCTTCTCTTTCTCTCTTTCTCTACCTTTATTTCTTATCCTCTGTCTCTCCCATTCTCCCCCCTCTCTGTCTTCCTCTCTTCTACAAGGGGAGGGAATTTGGGGGTGTGGGGAGGATTCTTCAGGAAACAGTTTTTTAAGCAACTCAAAAGCAGCCCTGGGAGGGAGAGAATGAGCAGAGGAGAGAGAGAATAAGCAAAAGGAAAGAAATGTAAATATCACCTGATGTGGAAGAAATAGCTGTATTGTCAAAGCTCATAGAATTCACAAACTTTATAGAGCATGATAATGACAATTTGCCTTGTGAAGGTTAAAATGTGTTTGTGACTTTAACAAAGTATCACTGCTCCACAATACTGTGAAATATGTGAAATTCATGTAATCACCTAATCTCAATAAATTAAGAAAAGAAACAGTTCTTTTGATGTTCTACAGAGTTGAATTGCTCCTTGTCTTAGCAGGGATTTGTGAAAGATCAATCCCTCTTTCCAGAGAAATCAAATGCCTGTAGATTTGAGAGAATCTTCAGAAGCCAGGAAAGCCTTAGGCATTGGACCTTCCTGCTGGGGAGGGGGAATTTGGATTCTTGGGGGAGACGCCTACCCAGGCAGCCCCAGAGGCATGGCTTTGGGATTTGGAAGGGATTAGGCAACTGTGACAAGGCATAAAAGTGCTGCCACCTGATTGTTAGAGAAGGGTTTCAAATGTAACCAAATTAATGGTGTCACTAGCCACTCTCCATAAAAACCAAACAAAGAACTCCCTTTCAAAAGAGAAAACTTACTTGTGAGGGGGTTTCTACCCCTTGAAATTTGGAACCTCGACTGAAATCGGTTCTGCGACAGCCGAACCATTTCAGACTTTCCTGCAGAAAAGGTTATCAGCAAGTTATGTGCAGAGCTACTAAAAAATACAAAACAAACCTATGTCAAGAATTTGTCTACTTAAAGACTCATAAAGACTTGGAACTAAATTTAGAGCTGGAACAATATTAGAAATCATCCGGTCCAGCTCTTCTTTCTACCTTCCATTTTACAAACAAGAAGGTGGAACTCAAAAGACAACCAAGCGACCTCCAGTACAGCAGGCATGGGGGCACAGCCTGCAGCAGTTTTTGGATCTATGATCCACAGTATTAAATCTAGGATACACACACACACACACACACACACACACACACACACACACACACACTCACAAAACAAGCTAAAGAACCCCAATATTTTTCATATTTTCTATCCTGCTCTCTTCCTTTCCATTAAAAATGCTGGTGACAATCAAGTAAGTTGATTTTATAACTCACTGGTTATAATCTGAAAATCACTTTCCTAGAACACTCATTTTCTTTTTTCCTCTTTATCCCAGGCCCTTGGGCTCTAGATATTGGCCCAACCAGTCCATCCTGAGAGTAGAGAAGGTGTTGGCCATAGGGGCCATGGGAAACAAACTTGTGTGACTCAAGTGAGGATAACAGAAGGGTGGCACTTCAAAGTTGGACATGGTGCAAAACTCACGCCAAGCCTCCTCTTCTCTAGACTGTAGGTCAAGAGTTGAGTGGAGCTGTTGGGGGTACAGCCTGCAGATGGGAATTTCCCTGCAAGACCATGTCAATGGGACTGGGCCCTACTTTACAGGGGGTAGCAGCCCACTGTGTCTCTGCAGAAATTTCCAAAGGCCATACATCCCTGAGATATAGGCTCTCAGGGATAATAAAATAGAGGACTGACTTTGTTCTGAGTTGAAAAGTGGCAACTTTGATGAACTTAGCAATTCAAAGGATGGTCAAAGTCCTTTGGAAAACTGGTGTAGTTAATCTTGATCTTTTTTTCTGAGAAAGAAAGAAGTCACACTATTGGGGAGGTCACAGGGGCATCTAATTACTGAGGGTTTTGTTCTGTGTAGATCAGACTGTACTCTAATTGTGATTCTTTCCTGCCTCTGCCTCCTCACTATTGGAATACAGCCTGCACCACTACACCCAGCCAGAGTTTATTTTGCATTTGCATAACTTGGTTTACTAGTTTACCTTCATTCTGCCCCTATGGGATCCTTTATTTAAAATGGTGACAGATGCTAGTGCCTACACCTACAATCCTCTCCACTTGGAAGATTGAAGTCTGGAGGATCATGGCGTGAGGCCAGCCTATGAAAATGTCTTTTATACTCCTATCTCAAGAGAGCCAGGCCTGGAGGCAGGACATAATGGCACACACCTGTCATCTCAGCTAGGACAGAAAACCTAAAATTAGTATGGCCAAGAGCATGGCTGATAGTTAGGGAGACTATGTCCAAAATAGCCAGTGTAGAAAAGGGCTGGAGGAACAAGGCAGTGAGAGAGCATGAGGTCTTGAATTCAAATTCCAGTACAATACACACACACAAGCTGACATTGGACTTTTGAACTGCATTTATTTAGAAAGTGCTGGGTTTTGAACTCTTGAGTCTCATGCTTGCTAGGCTTCTATGATTCTGCTAAATAATGCTCTCAACCTTTTTTTGCTAGTTAACTTTAGGATCAGTGCTTGCTTTCCATTCAGGCATGCACCTGAGCCATGATCTGCCCACTGCAGGTTTTTCCATCGTTGCTGGGATGACTGGTCCTCACTGTCATGTCAGGTCTCCCTTTGTGGAGCTGGAGTTTTGTGGCCTCCTTTTCTGCCCAGGCTGTCCTGGATATGTGATCCTCTCATTCTCAACTTCTCACAAAGCATGCGATGACAGGTGCTTACCACTCTACCCAGCTGTGACTTGAGAAGGGGGTCTCATGACCTATTCTGTCCAGACAATCCTTACACCACAATCCTCCTCTTCTCAAACACCCAAGTAGCTGAGATCACAGGTGTGAGTCACCAATGACCATCTTTTCCTTGATTGCTATTTTTTTTAAATATTGCATTACACAGTCATAGGAGATAATGCATGGCCTACAAAATTAAATAAAGTGTGAGAAGGGGTGGGTTTGGAAGGGATGTAGGAGCAACATTGGTGAAAGGGCAGCATTGATCAAGATGTACTGTCTTCATAAAGTGCTTGGTTGAATGGAAACTCCTTTGTGCAGCTACTTCAAGATAATAAAAACGTACTTTAAAAAGGCTGTTCATATCTTAGATATTCTGAAGTTGCCATTCCCTTTGATTGTTCTCACCATAGTCCTGGCTCAGAACAAGGACACTAGGCCAGTTACATCAATTGCACATTAAACAAGGCAGCACAAATCCAGTTTTTCACTTAGGCATCATGATCTAACAATTTACTTAACATTTTACCAGGAATGTTTCAGAACCAAAAAATTCAATAAATATAAGACAGAGAACAGTAATATCTTTCCTACCTTAGCAGTTGAAAATATTCCAGTTGCAATAAGGCAGGCACAAATCATTGTTCCCGTTCGCCCTAGAAAAGAAACTAGTTCAAGAAACCTTTGCTCCAGTATAAAAATACACTTGGAAGTACTCAAAGTGTGCATTGGGTATCAGTTCTTTTTCATCTTGAATGTGCCTCTGTCAACATTTCCAATTGAGAAATAAAAAGACCTTATTTTAATGAACACAACAAAAAGATAAACCAGGTCCAGGCAGGGTGGTTCACCAGCTACTCTGGTGGCAGATCAGGCAGACTGTGTGGTTCCAGGCCAGCTCAGGTCAAGTTGGCAAAATCTCATTCTCAACCAACAAACTGTACATGGGGGTTCATACCCATGAGTGCCATTATGTGAGAGACACAGAACAGGATTAAAATTGGAGCCCAGCACAGGAAAAAGTATGAGACCTTATCTGAAAAAAAATCACTGAAGCAAAACAAGAAAGGCCACATGGCTTAAGTGGCAGAGTGCTAGCTAAGCAGTTGTAAGGTACTGAATTCAAACCCAAATAGAAACTCAAAACATTAGGATTTATCATCTCTACTTAACTGTACTAGTTATTGCAATTGCATTAGAAAATCTTAAAAAAATAAAGAATGTAGAGTGAACGGCAGTATCATCAATATTTATGTACCTATTCTACAGGTTCTATAATTCTGAATCTTTTTCTGTGCTTGCTTAATTTATGTCTTGGCTTGCCTGCCTATATTCTCTTTTCTCTCTCTCTGTCTGTCTCTGTCATAGTGTTTTAAAGTGCACCATTGACTTCTTACTTCAAATAACTTCACCCTCCAAGTCTCTTATATTGCATTCCAATTTATATTTTAGTTCTGACATAAAAATTTAGATTTGAAAAATATTGCTCTTTCTTCAATCTTCTGTAGATTTTGGATTAGCTGCTTTTATATAATTCTAAATGTACCCATTTTCCTAAGAATTACAACATTTTCTGATCTATCCTCTAAAAACTTTTAAATGAATCACTCATTGACCTTTGCCACCTTTCTAACCAAGTACTTCCACAAAGGAAAGTGACTGGCACCATTAGCTTTGATGACCACAAGCTTCCTGCTAGATGAGGCGACTGGCTATTGCTTCTCTCAGCTTCACTGACTGCAAACGTGTCAATTCTGCAGGAGATATCTGGGTTTCTGTAAGTATGATATTTTCCCATTGGAAGGAAAGTTGTGAAAAGTTCTTTTAGCAATTATAGATACACTAACATGGACACCTTCCCATGCCAATGCTGTGAATAAGTACAGCTTCAGGATCAGTAAGTGTCCTCTCCTCTAGCCAGGTGAAACAGGAAACCATGAAGTACATGGTAATCATTGTGTAATCATTTGGCAAACATTCATCACTAAACCTCTCAAATTAGATGATGATGAGTTCTCCCAGCCGGAAACGTCAGGCCTGTTGTATCATCAACAATCTGTCATTTCCAGTTGGTCAGACAAATCAAGACATGGAATCCTAGATATTTTTTTAACTAGAAGCTTTCCCCTAATATTTTACTAGTGGTCTTGCTTGTATTGAATTTAACTGTAATAATATATATCATCACTCAACTTCATAGAATCTTCCTGAAACACACAACTTAGTTTTCATGAAATTAAAACTTATTCTGTTCAGTTTGATATTTTCAGATTTATATAATATTCAATTTTTTGATGTAATTCTAATATCAAATAGCAGACACTTGACGTGCTAACCTTTATCCACTGACTCACAGATCTCACATAATCTTTAAATCTCTTAGGATGATATCTTGCCATTAGGAAGAAAAACCTGAGGTCTATGAGTTTAAGAGACTCTGTGGGGCTGTGTGTGAGTGTGTGTGTCTGTGTGTGTCTTTGTCTGTGCTGATACTGGGACACTTGAACTCAGGATCTCCCTTGGCTGCTTCTGCTCAAGCAGGATGCTCTACCACTTGAGTCACACATTCATTTCCAGGTCTCTGCTGGGTAGAGGCAAGAGTCTCATGAATTTTTCTGCCTGGGTCTTAAGAGTTATTTCACTGGTGATTCTCTCTTCTAGTTTAGAAAAAGAATCATACTAATTCACACAGATTCACCCAGAATATAAAGAGCAACTAATTACACTAATATGCTGAAAGAGAAAAATCTTATTACCATCTCAAAAATTCAGGAAAAGCTTATGATAGAATTCAATATCCATTCATGATTTAAAAATATCTCCTTAGCTCACTAAAGGAATTATTTTATTCTGATAAAGCAGATCTAAAAGTCAAAAATATCACCTCACAGTCCTAAAACAGCAGGTGACATGATAAAAACGTTTCCTTTAAGATCAGAAACAAATTTTAAAAAGTAACTATTTGTATTTCTAATTCAACCATGTACAGAACAGTCTACCCAATGTTGGGGAGTTAAGAAGGACTGAAAAGAAAAAAAAACACAACTTATTATTTTCACATGATATAGTCAGGAACCACATAACCAAAAAGAATTAACAGATAAATTAGAATGAAGTAGGCTTAGTATAGTTGCTAACTGCAAAGTTGAAAATAAAAATCCACTGTACTGAGACAATCAATCACAGAAATCTTAGCCTTCTTAGTAGCTATCATTACAGATTTGAGCCAGCAACACCCATGGTCAATTTCTTAAGTAAGTAAAAGATATGAACCACACACTGCACACCCACACCCACACGCACGTGTGCACACACACACATATACACACACACACACATACACTTATACTAAGAATGAAAAATTTCACTATAATCAAAATTACAACCCGAATATTCTATATGAAAAACGCACAATAGGGCTGGGAAGGTGGCTCAGTGGTAGAGTGCTTGCCTTGCATACCTGAGGCCCTGGGTTCGATTCCTCAGCACCACATAAGCTAAAAGAAAAAGCCGGAGGTGGCGCTGTGGCTCAAGTGGTAGAGTGCTAGCCTTGAGCTGAAGAGCTAAGGGACAGTGCCCAGGCCCAGAGTCAAGGCCTCACAACCGGACCCCAAAAAAAAGAAAAACGCACAATAACCTCATTATGAAAAAATATGCCAATCAAATTTAAAGGACTACACAGTGGGAAAAGATAGTTGGATTTCCATACTATTACCAAATATTAGCATTCAAATTCCTTAAATAAGAGCAATAATAAAACACCTTGGCTATCATGCCATGAGTGGCAATATCAAGGTGGCAGGTCATAGGAAGAAAGTAAGATCAATATGAATGAATACTAAAAGAAAGAAACTGGTACAAACAAGGTAAAAACTAATCCTACAAACAATCCAAAAGACAGATCACTGAAATATATGCAAACACAAGATCATGCAAATACCTTCTGATCAAAAATATAAAGATAAAATGATGTTTGGCTTCAAGAAGAGAATTAGCATTAATTCAAGGAAACTGAAGCCAACTTCTGGGATCATATTATTTTAGGCTGGGTCATATAAAATATCCTAGACAAACAAAAAATTTAAAAATATCTGGCAGTTTCATCTGGCTCAACGCCCATAGTTATGTCAGCTTTCTGCCACTGAGATAAAATACCGAAGATAATCCAAAACAGGGAAGGTTTATTTTGGCTCATGATTTCAGGGCCTGCTTGCAGGATGAGATCAGCTAGCCTGTTGCTCTGGGGCCTGTGGCACACAGGATATCAGAGTGGGAGCACATGATGGAAGGAGCTACTCACCTCCTGATGACCAGGAAGCAAAGGAAGGTCCCAATATCCTTTTCAGAGCCATGCTTCCAAGAGCCTAGCATCCTTCTTTAAAGCTCCATCTTTTAAAGATTCCATCAGTGACATGAGCTGAGGCCCCAACTTTTAATGCATGGATGGGCCTTTTAGGGATATTAAGATCCAAGCCATAGCAATAGTTTCATTTTTCCATGGGCTTGTAAATTGCAAAGTTCAGAATATTTCTACCTTGTTAACCAGTGGGATATAACTTTATTGAAGTATATAACACAGTTTTGCGGTCACATTTTCTTAAAAGAAAATGTTAACAGCTGCTTTATAGCACTGTGAACTATGCAGAAATTATTATTTCAAGCCCAAAGATAAGTGAAAGAAAACCTACAAACACTTAAATTAGCTTTATTTAAAATACTACCAATCAAACAATAATAAATATCTTTATTTACTCCCTGCCAAACCAACTTCATTTCATCACACACTAAAAATTCCAGTGGAATTTTAATAAGTCCTATCTTTGTAGGCTTATATAACCTTAATAGTTTCTCACAAAGTTTAAAACAATCATTTTAAATTCTACTGAAACAAAATGGAATTTAGACCAGTGGAACAGAATAGAGAACCAAGAAATAGATTTACGGATTTCTGATCAACTGATCTTGGACAAAGTTGCCAAGAACACACAATGGGAAAGAAGCACATATTCAATCAATGATATGGGAACAAATGAACATACTTGAGCAAAACGATGAAATTGGACCATATCTCACTCACCCCAATACACAACATCTCCTAATGATTAGAGACAAACATTAGACCTACAATTCCAAAACTAGTAGCAGAAAATAATGGGGAATTGCTTTGTAACACTCATCTGGGATAAATAATTTTTGGATATAAATTGAAAAGCAGAGACAATAAAAGCAAAAATTAAACACGAGAGTAAACACAAAATGCACAGGAAAGTCAATAAAAATAACTGAGCAAAACATGACCCATGGAATATCCAAAAAGATTTAAGGAACTCAACAAAATAGCAAAAAAATAAACTCCCCCCCCCCCGCAAAAAAGAAGAGATATGTATGGTGGTTATCCCCATCATCACAGTACTCAAGGAGCTGAGGCAAGAGGATCACAAGTTTGACACTAGCTTGTGCTCCATAAGGAAAGCCTGTCTCCAACAAAACAAACAAAACAAAAGAGAAAGCTAGACATGGTAGGTAACACTGTAATCCTAGCTATTCAGGTAGTGGCAATGGGGAAGATTATTGTTTATGACCAGGCAAAAGGTTTGCAAGACTTTAACTCAAGTAAAAAGTTGAGCACCGGTATGTGTGCCCATTATGCCACATATGTGAAAAATGTGAAGCAGAGGCTCACAGCCTACGACTGTGTTGAACCTCTCTCTGAGTAGTAACTAAAGCAAAAAGGGATGAGGGTAGGTGTGTGAGCTTTGGGCTCAAACAACAGTAATGCCAACAAAACAAAATCACCTCAAACTCCCACAATAAAAATGGGATTTGGTGGGACAAAGGACTTGGAAAGACAGTTCTCAAAAAGAAACATACAAATGGCCAAAAGAGATATAAATAATGTTCAATGTCACTATGTAAGGTAAGACATTAGAAAACTAGCTTCATTTAGCCATTCCACAATGCATACAAATATAAAAATTTTATATGGCACATCACACATAAACACAATTTTGTCAGTTAAAAAGGAAAAAATACTGTTACACATTGAGTGGGAAGGAAAATAGGAGAAAAATGAGGGTGTGGGTAACAACATTTGATAAGAAATGTACTCACTACCTTATATATTAAACGGTAACCCCTCTGTATATCACCTTGATAAAATAAACATTTTAAAGACTACTCTAACATTCTGAAGTCAAGCGTCCTTTATATTTTGACACATAAACTGAAGAATCAGAAATGAAGAAACCCAAATCATCACCAATTAAGAGAAAAATACCTTCTTTACCTTTTTCCTTTTGTTCTTTTCCTTCATTACACTTTACCTGTCTTCTTCCCTCCCTTTTCTATTTCCTTTCTATCCTTCTTTTTTTCTTCAACCTTAAAATCAATATTCAAAAACCAACATAAAAATATTAACACTAGCCGGGCGCTGGTGGCTCACGCCTGTAATCCTAGCTACTCAGGAGGCTGAGATCTGAGGATCGCAGTTCAAAGCCAGCCCGGGCAGGAGAGACCGTGAGACTCCTATCTCCAATAAACCACCAGAAAACCGGAAGTGGCGCTGTAGCTCAAGTGGTAGAGCACTCGCCTTGAGCTGAAGAGCTGAGGGACAGTGCCCAGGCCCAGAGTTCAAACCCCACGACCGACAAAAAAAAAAAAAAAATAACACTAGGGCTAGGAAGGTGGCTCAGTGGTACAGTGTTTGCCTTGCATGCTTGAAGCCCTGGGTTCAATTCCTTAGCACCACATAATCAGAAAAAGCCGGAAGTGGCGCTGTGGCTCAAGTAGAACACTGGTCTTGAGCTAAAGAGCTGAGGGACAGCGCCCAGGCCCAGAGTTCAGGTCCCAGGGCTGACAAAAAAAATAAATAACACTAGCTGGGTGCTGTGTCTCACGCCGGTAATCCTAGCTGCTCAGGAGGCTGAGATCTGAGGATCTCAGTTAAAAGCTTGCCTGGGCAGGAATGTCTGAGAGTCTCTTATTTCTGATTAACCACCAGAAAACTGGAAATGATGCTGTGGTTCAAGTGGTAGATCACTAGCCTTGAGCTGAAGAGCTCAAGGACAGTGCTCAGGCCCAAACTTCAAGCCCCACGACTGACAAAAAATAAAAATTAAAAATATTAATACTGCTTTACAGCAGTACAAATCCTCTGCTAGCCCTTCAATATTTATTTTCAGTCATCTTTAGAAAAGGGGAACAGAAAGAAAAGCATTCTTACCTTTGCCTCCTTTACAGTGAAGCGCGGCGACATTTTGAGGATCCAAGTCCAACCAACCAACAATGTCTTTGGAGAGCTGAATCATCTCCCTGATTTCACACAGAAGATTTGTACGTGATTAAAAATAGCTCCAAAGAAATTAGCACTCTCCCGACAGTCATACTCTCCTGACAGTCAGTGTGGCACAAAACTTACTCAAGGCTGGGAACATTATGGTCATCAATCATTATCCTATGCATTCGGTTGTGGAAATGTAGCGGGTTATAAGATTTCTCACCTACAAGAAACAATATACACATCACATCTTTATGGCTAATAATGCAGAAGTTAGGAATAAAGTTCAAGTTTTCTTTTGGTAATTGCTATTTTGTTGCCAAAGGGGTTTTCTGGGAAGCAAGCGCCTGTTGCTCTAAAACGATTCTTGAAACCAACAGCATAAAATTCCCTAAGAGGGAGGCTGGCAGGCCCCCCATGGACCTAAGAGGCAAAGGAGAGGTGAAGGATTTTAGGGAAAGATACTTGGTTTGTTCACTTCTGGTACTCTAGAATCAAGCTGTTGTTTCATATACTTCACTTCTAGCCTTCTAGCAGACTACTCATTCTGTCATCACACATTGTACCATGCTCAGTCTCTGGGAAATAAATGGTCATTTAATGTGTAGACAGGAGAAAACAAAATCAAGACAGACACAATGGGAATCTTTTCTACAGGTTTGTTTTTGTTGTTGTTTTCTATCAGAGGCCTTGTTCTCATCATCACCAGCTTCCGGGGAGTCAGAGAACACACCTGCTGACTTGTCTTCAGTACAATCTGGCATGGAAGACAGAGAGACTTCTCTAAGCCTAAGAGCACCAGTAGACTTCCTCACTATTTGCCTCTCTGGTCTCATTGGCCTATCTCCCTCAGAGGGAACTTTATGCTACCAAGCTAACTTTTCCCACCACACAGGACCAGCACAAAATAAGGATTTCTTTCTTTCTTTTTTGTCAATTTTGGAGCTTAAACTCAGGGCTTGGGTGCAGTCCTTGAGTTCTTTTGCTCAAGGCCAGCGCTCTGCCACTTTGAGCCACAGCTCCATTTCCCCAATTGGGATTTCTGATGTAAATCCCCACACTAAATATTTACGACTAAATGAAGCAGAAAAGAGTGATCATTTTCTTATAGGTTTTCTATCTACAGTAGCAAAATTAAGTTATATACATACTACAGAGGTTGTATACGAAATAATGGCCAAAATGTTTGGTGTCGAGGAATCGGGTGACCTCCTAAAAAAGAGAAGATATATTCATAAACTGCTTAGTTGAATGGCAATTCCTTTGTACAACTAAAGATACGAAGGGGAAAAATGCTGTCTACTACTCTTGGAAAACCCTTTTTGTCACAGCCTTAACCTGTTTTTCACCTGAAAGAATAAACTTGTAGAACACTGCCCTCCCTGGGTCAATCTTAAGCCCGAGTCCACAGTGTACAGTGAAAAATACCCACTGGTTATATAAATATGCTTACCTCTATCGGGTTCCTATACAATGCCAGTCGTCCAGAGGCAGGAAATGACATGGCAATCATGCGCTCTGAAAGTTAAAATGATCGCTATTATGAATGTCTTTATAGATGGGAAACATAGAAAAACTATTCCACATATATAACAAAACGTTTTCTTTCAAAATCAAAAAGAACTTTAAAGATAGGAATTGAGAGGAAAATGTAATACATTTCCAGGATAACTAAGATGATTAAACTATGCAACAGAATAATAGTTAAACTGCCATGATATTCTTTAGGCACAATTGGTACTTGGTGTTTTCCAGCCCTCTTGGCTCAGAAAGTCTGAGATCTACAGAGTAGTGACCTTATTCTCTAGATTTTAGGAAGAGAAAAAGTCTCTCTTGGATCCTTGATGTATCTACCAAAACTAAATAAATGAAAAATCCATCCCAGTCACCAAGTCTTGATTTGAAATGACATGAGATTTTTCTGTGCCCAAAGGTAACCTATCAATATGTTACCCTAACCTAGTAGCCTGTCATCACAGATAGAGTACGTTGCTGAGAAAGCAAACAAGCAAGCGAGCAAGCAAGGAAGGAAGGAAGACAGGTTGAAAAAAAAAGGAAGGAAAGGAGAAAAAAAAGAAAAAGGAAGAAAGAAGCCAAAAAAGAAAGAAAGGAGAAAGAAAGGGAGAGAAAAGCTGGGCATAGTAGCAGGAACTTGGAAACCTAGTTACTTGGGAGGCAAATATCAGGGGATCATGGCAAGACTTCATCTCAATTCATGGCTTAATGCAGTGGTATACCCCCATCATCCCCAGTGACGTGGGTAAGCACAAGTAGAAGAATTGTAGCCCAGGACAGCTGGGGCATAAAGTAAGACCCTACCTTGAAAATAAACAATACATAAAGAGACTAGTGTTGTGGCTCAAGTGGTAGAGCACCTCTCTAGCAAACATGAGACTCTGAGTTCATTCCTAGTACCACAAAGAACCAAAAGCAGCAACAAAATAAAAATAAAATGAGTACAAGCCAACATGGTTTAGATACAAATATTTTGGTTTGGAGAAACAAAAAAGAATATTACTATTATGAGAAAAATGTGAAATTTAGATAAGTGAACCAAGACTTAAACTCAAAACCCAGTACTGTAATTAGAATAAATAAGTCAACAGTTAAGTTTCACAAACCTGTGATATAGGTCAAATCTATATCAAATCCATCCTTGTTGTATCTCCTCTTGTTTCCAGACACCTGGGTGTTAAAAAAATCATAGGCTTGAAAATATTAATCAATCACAAAGAATTTTATATTGTTATCTACATCTCTTACAAGTATTTCATGGTAGGAAAAAACATGTTTTGCCCACTCACCATCCTTCTGGTTGATTGTTCAAGATGTCTTATTTGATTTGCCAGGTGAAATAGTCTCAATAGAGTGATAAGCCGTATAGGTCGAAATACAACAGTCAGTCTAAATAAATTTATAGATAAATTTGAAAGGATTTCTTTTTGGTTCAGAAATAGAAGAGTTTATCAGTGTGGATATTAAACTGTGTTTGTGTGTTTGTGTGCCTGGGCATGCATGTACTAATTCTTCAACCCCAGTGCCTTGTGCATGCTGCACTACTGTTCTATCTGTCAGCTATACCCCTGGCCCCAGAGGATTTACAGTAGCATGTGTATATATTTTTAGTTGTTACAACAGACCTAGGAATGGAGGCTAGAAATGCTGCTAGACACCTACAATGAGTGGAAATTTAGGGAGAATTTTAGAATGTTTCTGCCTTCTGTCCAATCTACCTGAATAAATAATCATCCAATCTAAAATGTCAATAATGCTAAGATTGGGAAATTAAGATTGTAGAGAAATAACAAGTTTATTAGAATCTGTAGATTAAATACTTTGGTTTAAGATCAGTACTTTTCATTTTCCCCCCAAATGAACTGAGTTTTGTCAACTGGTATTACTCTTTTTTGGTAACACAGGTTCACTATAATTACTTGTTAAGTGGGTACTTTATTACTCAACCCTTTATTACCCATTCCTAAATATTTTATTTTCTAAAAATTTATTTGGTACTGAACCTAAACAGAAATCATCCTTAAATATGCACAATTAAAGCATGGAAATTTTAAAAAGTAAAAGAACAAATTAAAAAGACTTTAATGAGTAAGTCATATATGTTTCATACCTTGGAATGCCTGTAAGAATATTAAATTCAAAAACTACGGAGGTGATATTAATACATAGCGTGATGCCAATGATGACTGTATCAAAGATGTTAAGTAAATCAGAAAAATAATACTTTTCCCTGTAAGAGATAATAAAGAGGGTTATTTTCTCCAAGAGGATATAGGAATATCTTAGCAGCACAAGTTACTTGATTCATCTTCATTAGAAATATGTACATTAAGAGAGAACTTAAAATGCATTGTCTAGACTAGATTAAGGGATATATAATATTAAGGAAAGTTCAGAAGTAGTAAATTTATACTTATTATATTATATATTTGCATCTATGATGGCAATTTAAACTGAGTAAATAAGAGACATAACCAAACCACTTAACTAGAGGCATGCACTGCATTCTCCCAAATATGAGGGGAAGAAACATGTGATTGTACAGTTCTGTTGGACAGGAAGATCAGCACATCACATCCTTAAAGCAATGGGCTAAGAAAGAATGCAGGAAGAGCTTTTGAGAGGAGAAGGAAGTGCTATTTTGAACTTTTGATCTGGTCTTGCAGGAATCACAACAGGCTGCTGATTCCTTCCTAGGACAAAGACAGACTTCTATCCACCACAAGCTCCTTTCCAACACTGGCTCCTGCAGAGCTGAGCAGTAGGTCTCCAGGAAAGCATCTTCTACCTCTGAGGAAGCCTTTTTCAGGCTCTCACTAACCTGGAAGTGAACTCTCCTTAGCTCAAAAGCAGGAGGATAAAAAGTCATTAGGAAAGAATACAAACTGCCTTCTGAAGTACTCTGGAGAAAGGGAGGCTGGGAGATCCAGTCTCTGACTCTCATAGCAGCCCAGCTGCAAGGTTTGTCTGATTTACCCACCTTCTTAGAAAACAAGCAATCCGAAAAGGAAAAACATCTATCACTTTCTTCCTACCACATTTCATTAATGAGATAAGCATTCCTCACATCACCTCCAGATCTCATCTAAAGTTTTTGTTTGAATGAAATGAGCACTTTCATGAATGACTATTTATGACCTAGTAGCTAGTATTTCAAATCTTAGTTGAGATTCAAGTTGTAACCAAAGCACTAATATTTAGACATCACATACATATTCCCCTCTTCTTAACATGCATGTCAACATATTAATTGCCTAGCCCTTTTTTGAATGGTGCTTTCTAGAATACATTGTGGGAGTGTCAGCTGTAATATAAAAGTAATTTAAGCCAGTCAATGAAAAATTGGGTTTGGACTGACCTTTATTTGTGGCTCATGACTTCAAGAATTATTATTTTGTAGAAGAGGGACACATATAGTTGGGTTGACTTGCTAATTATCTTAGGCTTCTTTTATATGTATTGGTAAAGCAATGAGTTTTTAATAGAGAGTTTAAGAGGAGCTTAATGCACATGATTAAAGGAAACAGTGGGCCTGAGCTGCACAATGTTAATTTAGACTTAAAGAAAGAATAAAACTTACCCTTCTATGTAAACTTGAAGGAGCACATTAATAAAGAAAAATATAGCGATTGCCAATGAAACAATTTGAAGTTGCATAGGAATATAAGGTTCAGTCACAACAAGCCCCACATCAATAAAAAGCAGCAAGATTCCAAATAATCTGAAATAAATAAAGATAATGTGGTTTTTCTCCACAGTTAACAATTACTAAAGCCATTCATCAGAAACCAAAAGGCAACTGGAAGGAAGAATTATAGTATATTAGAATCTAAAAAACATTGCTCTGTCTTTTTTTTTGTTTGTCAGTCATGGGCACTATCGGCTCTTCAGCTCTAGGCGAGTGCACTACCACTTGAGCTGCAGTGCCACTTCTGGTTTCCCGAGTAGCTTATTGGAGATAAGAGTCTCACAGATTTTCCTGGGTGGGCTGGCTTTGAACCATGATCCTCAGATCTCAGCCTCCTGAGTAGCTAGGATTACAGGCCTGAGCCCCCCATGCCTGGCAATTACTCTATCTTTATTCAACAGAAGCCGTCATTAGTGAATGACATTTCCACCAAACCAATGGCTTGGATGTAATGTAGATACATCAGATAGAACAAAACTAAAATAAAGTGACAAATTAAACTCTTTAAATTTGAGAATTTCATAAGAAGCATCTCTGTTTCTTATAGTAAATGTCATTAATCTTAGTAATTTTTAAGAATTCAATTGTCAAATCTCAGTGAAGTCCTCCCTGATCTAAGCCCTGGAAAGACGACTTTGGCTGGGTGCAGTGGTTCACAGCTTTAATATTAACTACTTGGAAGGCTTAGGAGGATCACAGGCCAAGGCCAGCACCGGCAAAACATTCTCAAGACCCATTTCAACCAAACAAGGTGGGTGTGCCTGTTCTCCCAGTTACGTCAGGAAACCTCACTCGGAAGACTGAAGCCCAGGCCAGTCAAAGAAAAAAGTCAAAATCCCACAACAACCATGAACAAAAAAGCAGAAGAGGGACTTGGTAGAGCACTTGCCTAGCATGCATGAATCGCTGGGTGCATTGCTCAGTACCACATAAATAGAAAAAGCTGGAGGTGGTGCTGTGGCTCAAGAGGTAGACTGCTAGCCTTGAGCAAAAGAAGCTTGGCGACAGTGCCCAGGACCAGAGAGTTTCATCCATAAAAATGACAAAAAAAATACAGCAGAATAGATACAAGTCTCTAAATTTATCAATGACAACAACAACAACATACACACACAATATTCACACACACACACAGACAGACAAACGTTAATCATTGTGATTTGGAAGGTACTTTGCTTAATCTTACTACAGTCAATCATAACATATATCACTCATTCTCACAGGAGCTCATACAAAGGCTGATAGCTTTCTATGGTTTTTCTTCTGACTTTTTTGTGACTTTTTGCTGTGTAAACTCTCTTTTCTTCTTTTTTAAAAAATATATGTTGTTTTATTGTAAACTAGAAGTGGCATTGTGGCTCAAAGTGGTAGAGCACTGGACTTGAGCTGAAGAGCTGAGGGATAGCACCTAGGGCCAGAGTTCAAGCCCCAAGACTGACATAAAAAACAAAAACAACAAAAACCCAAAGCAAGAAGTGCTGGGAATGTGGTTCAGATAGTAGAATGCCTGCCCAGCAAGCATGAGGCCCTAATACCAAAGAACAATACCAATTACTGGGGATCGAACCCAGGATATAGGACTTTGCACTTGCTAGGCAAGTAATTTGCCACTGAGCTACATCCCAACCCTCCAATGCCACTTGGACCAGAATGATTTTTCTTTTAGCAATGAGGTTTTTCAAAAGTACACACATATGTATTCCTGGGTACTTTTAGTACAGCAATGGGCACAAGAAAAATAATTCATTTTTTTGTTTTCTTTTTTAAAATATTTTTTCCTGTAAAGATACTGTACAGAGGGGTTACAGTTACATAAGTAAGATAATGAGTCCATTTCCTATCAAGAATTGCTATCCTTTCCTTTTTTCCCCCCTACCATCCCTTTCCTCCCCACCTCCCCAATTCCTCCCTCCTCCGAAAGTTGTAAAGTTCATTTTCCACATAGTGTCTTGGGTATCTGGTTGTTACAATGAGTCATCCTGTATCCTTATTTCAGCATTTTGCTATTTCCCTTCCCCTCCCCAAATTAGAAAATTGTATGTACAAGATGCAGGGCAACAGAATCAAATACGGTGAAAACAGGTTATACTATGGGGGAAGAACATACAAAAGAAACCAAATAATCACATAGTATATTATAGGTACATTAAAAACAATAGTAAGAAAAATAAAACCAAAGAACTCAATTGAATAAGTGTGTATATGATTAAATTTTAAGTGCTCCTAAGACTTTCTTTCATATATTTGAAACATATTCCCCATTAATTGATTGTATTATTTGTATGTTTATGAAGATATATTAAATAAACTTCAAAGAATTTTTTTTTTGGGTCTGGGCACTGTCCCTGAGCTCTTCAGCTCAAGGCTAGTGCTCTATCATTGGAGCCACAACTCCACTTCCAGCTTTTTCTGCTTATGTGGTGCTGAAGAATCAAACCCAGGGCCTGATGGATGCAAGGCAAGCACTCCCAATGAGCCACCTTCACAGCCCAAAGAATTTTTTTGTAATTGCAACTCAAATTAAATTATTATTAATTTTACAGAAACCCAAGTCACAGTATAAAATCATTCTTTCATATAGAGATGTAGCCTAAGTAACATGTTTCCAGAACTGAGTAATTACATGTTTAAGGTACTTAATAAAATGTAATCTACACTTATAAAACTTTAAGGTTTTCTTTGGTGTCAGTTGTGGGCTTGAATTAAGGGCCATCCTTGAGCCTGTGTGCTCAAGGCTAGTGTTCTACCACTTTGAACCACAGAGCCACTTCCTATACTTAGAAAACTTTATGATGCAGGCTTTATTACTTTTACTTTTATAAGTAGAAAATCAGTATAGCATTATACAGTGTGGGGAAATCTGTGGGGAACACAGGTAGCAAAGATGGCCCTGAGAGGAAGTTGAGTGGGCAGAACCGATTTGTTTAGGTTCAGTGTGTAAACAACTCATGGAAGCTTAGGTGCATGATAAGGTGTGGCCTTTCAGTGATTGGTTGGTTCCATTTCCTCCCCTCCCACGCAGTCTTTTGCTTTAAAAAGAGGATGCTCCCTGTTAATAAAGGAGCTCCTGCTTGACTTGACTCCCTGCTGCCTCTGATTGTCTCCTGGAGGCTGGGGAACAGGCGAGCGGCCGCACTTACCCCTCCTCGGACCCTGTCCGTCCAAAGACTGACGAAGACCCAACAATATAGATTGAGACAAATGTCATTTCTTTGCAACTTTAAATGTCTGGCTTAAGGCAATTTTCCAAGATAGATTGTAAAAAGGTATTTTGCTAAATCTTGTCAGTGAAAATTATTTTTGTTCTGCTTTGACCTTTTCAGATCCTTTGCAAGTACAAATCTGGATACTAACTGTCGTACACATAGTTCATTGCTTGTGTTTCTAGAGTCTCACATACCTAAAAGCTATAGATGTCACAAATGATGTCACAGTTTTCTTGTAGTTGCTGTAAAATGAATAAAAATCAAATCAATCAAATATTGTTTCTCCAACACATACTATAAGATTAACCAAAAAGCAAAGGCCTCTATTAGTATCAATTTAAGCATAAATATCAATTTACAAGGAAATTCTTCAACGGTTTTATAACAAAATATTTTTTTTTACTAATAGCTGAAATGGTTACATTTCTCTTTCAAACAAACACCAAGTTGTGGATAATTAGTAATATTTCCTTTGGGCATACTATCCTAATCTGACTATGGTAGAATTAATCTTGAAGTCATCAACTAGTGTACATATGGTAGAAGGGAGCTGCTTTCTGATGTCAGTTCCTTCGTGAACAGATTGCAGAATCTTGGGCAAGTCATTACACTTTGATCAGACCTGTACCCACAGTAATGAAATGGGAGCCATCAGGGATGAACATGGGCAGTACATGGGTCTCTTGTCTTTTAATCCTCATCTCTTGAGTCAGACATCCAGCACATACTTAGAGTGAGTAAGGTAAGGCATTTTAGTAAAACCTATTTCAAAGAAAAACCACCCTAAAGATTGGGCTTTTCCCATTAATCAAAAGGAGAGCCTGTATAAAGTATTGTCTTCTTTTATCTTACAGCTGAATATAATGCAGCCTCTGGAGAGCAGTTTCTTATGCTGCTGAGGCTTCCAAGAAGGGACCAAACTTCCCCTCTGAGTGGAACAAACTCCAAGACAAGACTCGTAGCCTGTGCCCAAAACTGTGAAATGGACACTGAGAACAGAGGCAGTGCCAAAGCTGCCCATGGATGACTGCGGTTAACTTGAGATACGAGAAGTTCCCAATTGTAATCTTCCCTTCATCTCCTCACCTACTGCCTACTGCCTACTACTTTATCCTGGCTTAGCATACTTAGGTGGTGTGCATGAGGGACCAAGCTGGCCCACGAGGTGAATTCTCTCCCCCAGGAATTCTAGTCCCTCCCTACAAGGCCCTTCTAATCTCTCACACCAATTGAGTCTTGAAGTGAAGAAGTGTTATAATAAATGTGAACTTGCCTAACTGGGTGATAATACAGAGCCATGTGTGACAGGTTCATGGAGGCACACAGGAGAGACTTGGAGGTAGCTCTGGCCCCTCCAATCTCTCTTCTAGTTATTGTTAAAGAGTGCACTATGTAGCTACAACCAGTCTGTGCAGAGTGTTTACAGGAAAAAGACTGTGAGTTGATAAGACTGTATGCAGAAAAAGTTCTGTTTATATTTGGAAGCAAAAGATAGCTACTCCAACATGCAGCAACTCAAACTGTACTAGGTATGCACATATGTTCTTCAAAGCCATTAATCCAAAGGTGTACTCAATCCAACAGGAAGGAATCAAAATGAAGTGGCAGGCATCAGGAAAGGGTCTTAAAAGAAAGGTGTCCAATAAGAACAATTCAAAACTACAAAATATGTAAGGATATTTAATGAAGCATCAAATGTACCAGGTGGAAATTCAAATAAATCACTCCAAGAGCAAAAGTAAAAAACATAAAACTCTCAATAATAAAAGGAAGAAAAAGCAGAGCTGGGGAGATGTGATGTAATTAGCCAAAGCACCTAAATCAGCTAAACAGACCTAGCATAAGCAATGAAATTGAAACTGTAATAAGGTCTGCCAAGAAAGACAGTCCAGGACCATATGAATTCATTGTGGAATTTTTTCTTAGCATTAAAAAATTAATCTTAATGTTTCTCAAAATTCCATACAGTAGAAAGGGAAGGAATGCTACCAAACTCATTCCACAGAGCCAGTACCAACAGACACCAAAAACAAGTAAGAACCAAGAAAAAAAATTCAGCCAATGTCCTTGATGAATGTAGGTGCATATGTTCTAAATATAATAGAAACTAAATTCAACAACAGAAAAATATCTTACACTGCAGTATACTACATTGGGTTTAGTTCCAAGGATGTGAATGAAGATGGCTCAACTTATGCAAATCAATTAACATAATATAGGGCATAATAGAGCAAAGCACAAAACACATGATCATCTCAATAGATGCAGAAAATACGTTGTTTTTTTGTTTGGTTGTTTGCCAGTCCTAGGTCTTGAACTTAGGGTTTGGGCTCTGTTCCTTAGCCTCTCTCTTAAAGCTACCACTGAACCACTGCATCACTTTGGGCTTTTTCTGAGTAGTTTATTGGAGATAAGAATCGTAACCCCTCTATACAGTATTTTCACAATAAAAAAATGTCCACATTATTCAAGTGAAAAAAAAAGAACCCATAGATATTTATATCAGTATATGACACAATGAATTTCTTTGTCTTAAAAAAAAAGAATCTCATGACTTTCTTCTGATGGAGGCTTCTTGAGTAGATAGGATTATAGGCATGAGCCAAGAGCACCTGGCTCAGAAAATACTTTTGACAAAAATGAAATCAATCACACTTCATGGTAGAAGCCTAAAAGAACTAGGAATAGAAAGAATGTATCTCAACACAAGAAAGGCTATCAGTGTAAAGCCTGTAGCCAACATTGTATGAAATAGGAAAAAATGAAACCATTTTCTCTATAGTCAGGAATGTGGCAGAGGTGTCTCTATTTCCACCCTCATTTACTGTAATGCTTCTTATCTTATCCAGAGAAGTAAGGGAAGAGAAAGAAATGAAAGGGATGCCAACATAAAGAAGAAATCTAATTATTCTTATGCAGATAGTGAGAAGTTATCTAAAAGACCTCAAAGATTCTACCAAGAAAACTCTCTTAGATGTGATAAAGACTTTCAGTGAAGTGGCAGGATTCAAAAACAACACATATAATTAACAGCCTTTTCTATACTCCCAATATTGTATAAACCTTCTCTACAACACTGACACAGTTGTGGGTGATAAAACAACCTCGATACATTTAGTATCTTTCTACAGTTTTTCTCCCCACCCCCTGCCCACCCCAGTAATATACGCCTTTTCCTAGGCTACAGGATCCATCAATAGCTTCTTCTCTCCAACACCAGCCTGTTTCACTCATATTTTTTCTGGAAGCAACATATTCATCACCATCATCCACCCTGAACTATTGGTTTATATATCATTCATCAACAAAAGTCAAACTATATCATTAGAGACTTGTTACATGTAGAAATTATCTGAACAATAAAACTCTTTAAGTCTAAAGTATAAACTTTTTTTTTTGTTGGTCACAGGGCTTGAATTTGGCCTGGGCGCTGTCCCTCAGCTCTTCAGCTCAAAGCTAGGGCTCTACCACTTGAGCCACAGTGCCATTTGCCATTTTCTGGTGGGCTGGCTTTGAACCACAATCCTCAGATCTCAGCCTCCTGAGTAGCTAGGATTACAGGCATGAGCCACCAGCACCTGGCTAAGTATAAGCATTTTAAAGAAATAATTTTAGACTCATTATATTGAACTCTAATTTACCATGACTATTTCCAAGATTTAATTGTGATAATCTCTCTCACTCTTGTCTCTTCCTCTCTCTCTATGCACATATAGGTAAACTTTGTATGTTCTAAGTATCAATTTACATGCTATACATACATGTGTACATGTGTCAGTCAGTAGTCTTTGATGATACAATCTTTGTAAGATGAAAGGCATCAAAGATCTCTTAGACGAGTCAGAGATTACTGAGGTCATTTTGTTCTTATCAGTGTGAAGGATTAAAAATAAGATTTAGAGATTACAAATGATTTCTCAGACTTAATTTCTTTTTGGCCAGAACATGTACAATTACTCTACGTTCTCTAAGGGGATTGAGTGGTTATTTACAATAGATTGAGTAGTTATTTACGAAGTAGTATACCAATTTTACCTATAATTATTAAATCTCCTATGGTGCAAAGATAATCAGTATAAAGCCTCCTCTGAAATATTACTGTAAAAGCTTTGAGAATCAAAGTTGAAGTTGAATTTTTATTACTGCAACTGGCTAATATGTGCACCAACATTTTGGATTAAATTTATTTTGAAATTCAACTTGAGTGTGTAGGTATGCATCATCCTTTCCCTCTCTAATTTCCTCGTTCACAAGTTCCTCCTCCACCCTGTTCTTTTCACACCTTATAGGTATCTTTTCCATGCTTTGGATGTGGGGAAGGAGGGGAGGACTGGGACTGCGACTGGGACCATGATACTGGCTTTGGATTTTGGGTACCAGCCTCACATGGTGGCAGAGCTCTGGAGGCTAAAGACAGGTGTCAGGTCTCTTAACCCCATTATTTCTGCTGAGGGCGCTACTTTTCCTGCCTGCTGATGTCATGCACAATTCTCTCCTCTCTTGCCTACTTTAGTTGCATCACACTCTCTTATTTTTGGCTACTACAACAGATTAGGAATAAGTAGCAGTCTTATGGCATTTCTTCTTTCAGGCATCTAAGCTAGAACGGTAGCTCTGGATATTAAAACAAAAATACTTGTTTGTGACTTCACTTCCATAGATGTGTTTACATTCATATATATGTGTGTATCTATCTATTTATCTATCTATACACATAGGTGAAAATATTTTGCATATTTAGATCTCACCTTTCTTTGACATCTTCTTGGTCAAGTTGTATTTTGTAGTCAGATAAAATTTCACTAGCAGAAGAAAACAAAACATATGATCAGACATTGCTTGATTTCCTAGACTTGATATTTAGTTCTAATTAGATGTAGTTTAGCTTAGAATTTTGTGCACCTTTTTAAAAAAATTTATTGCCAACATGATGTACAGAGGAGTTACAGTAAGTAAGGCTGTGAGTATATTTCTTGTTCAACTTGCTGTACCCTTCCTCATTTTTTCCCACTTTCCCTCCCCCAATTGTACAGATCACGTCCAACAGACTGCCTTGTGAGTGTTGCTGCTGCATTAGTTCCCCCTTTGTCCTTTGTCTCACCATTTTGTTGTTCCCTTTCTTTACCTAATTCAGATAAACATATATACAATATCCAGGGTATCAAAAATCAAATATGTGAAAATAAGGGATAAACCATAGGGAGAAAAAAACACAAAAGAAACAAGAAATGATTAAAAACAACAACAAAGAAAACCCTCTGTGTCCATGTCTTGGGAGTTGATTTCACTTAGCATCATCTTATATGTTCACATGTAAACAGCTTTTGAGCTACTCTGCTTATCTGCTAGGATTATCCTAGACATATACTAATTATTACAAATGAGAGAAACCCTAGGACCTATGTTTTTTTGGGCCTGGCTTACTTAATACGATTTTTTCCAAGACTTTCCACTTCCTTACAAATGGGGCAGTGTCATTCTTTCTGATGGAAGCATAGAATTCCATTGTATGTATGTGTTTATATATAAACACATACATATATATACATATATAAATATACATATACACATATGTATATTTATCTCACATTTAATCAATCCCTTCATCTATTGAGGAGGATGTGGGTTGGTTCCAAATCTTAGCTATGGCAAATAATGCTGTGATAACATAGTTGTGCTGGTAGCTTTAGAATGGCCTTGTTTGTGGTCATCTGGGTAAATGCCCAGAAGTGGGATTGGTGGGTCATAGAGGAGCTCTATGT